AAAAAAAAAAAAAATCTTAAAATGAAAAAAAGGAAAATGGACTGCACATTCAGTTTACTCCCCTGTTTAGCTACCCTACTCACATTAGCTATTTCTCTCAAACTCTTTATCAACTTGAAAAAAATCCCATCAAAATCCCATCCACCAGGCCCGCCGGGCTGGCCGTTATTGGGCAACATCTTTGATCTTGGCGAGGTTCCCCACCAAACATTCCACAAGCTCCAGGCCCATTACGGCCCGATCATGCACCTCAGGCTCGGGTCCGTCAACACCGTCGTGTTACAATCATCCGAAGCAGCCGCCGAGCTCTTCAAGAAACGCGATCTCCAATTTGCCGACCGGAGAGTTCTCGACTCGTTCACGGCCTTAAGGTACAACCGGGGATCCGTAGGCATGGCATCCTATGGCGACTACTGGCGAAAGGTAAGACGTATTTGCACCGTGCAATTTCTTGTCCAGAAGAAGGTAAACGAGTCGGCTGCCGTTAGGCAAAAACGCGTGGATGAAATGATCGAGTGGATCAAGCGTGATGTGGCGAAATGAATCTAAGGAGAATGGAGCATCCGGTGAGGTTCGACTTGATCGGTTCCTTTTCATGTCCGCTTTCAATACCGTCGGGAATATTGTGTTGTCCGGGGACGTTATGGGGAAGAAGCTCGACGAGGAGAGTATTTTTCGACGACTTTTGATGTTTTTGGAGTGGTTAGGAAAGCCTAACATGGCCGATTGTTTCCCATTTTTGTAATAGATTGATCCGCAAGGGATTAGGAGGAACATAGCCAAGTATTTGGGAAGGTTGATAGCATTTGCTTCCGGAATTGTGGAGGAGAGGACTCGGGAGAGGGAATCAGAAATCGGAAAGGAAAGGAAAGATTTGTTAGACGCGTTGCTTGACGAAGGTGAAGTTGACGAGGATGGGCTCGATAAGCTTTCAGCTAAGAACATTGCAATTGTCATATTGGTAAATAAAATGTATTTTTTTTTTTTCCATCTATTTGACGCGATTCATATCCACTAACCGAAATAGTTTTGGGTCGTTTAGGAAATGTTTTTCGGTGGAACAGAGACGACGAGCACCACCATCGAGTGGGGAATGGCTGAGTTACTCCGCCATCAGAGCTCGATGGAAAAGATCCAAGACGAGATCGACCGGGTCGTGGGGCGTACCCGCAGAGTCCAAGAGGATGACTTGACCCCAATGCCTATTTGCAGGCAACCGTAAAGGAAATATTACGGTTACACCCTGCTGTACAAATGCTGGTTCCGAGGAACTCGATGGAGGACACCGAGCTAATGGGCTACTTTGTGCCCAAGAACACACAACTAATTGTTAACACGTGGGCGATCCATAGGGATCCAGCAGCTTGGCCCGACCCGTTGTCCTTTAAACCGGAGAGATTTTTGGAGTCTGATGTGGATTTCAAGGGCCCGCATTTTCAGATGATCCCATTTGGTTCGGGCCGAAGGAGCTGCTTGGGCATGACTTTGGGCCATAGGACGGTGAGCCTGACCCTAGCTAGTTTGCTTCAGACGTTCGACTGGAAGCTTGCGGATGGGCTTGGGCCTGAAGATGTGGATATGAGGGAAATGGTGGGCATAACCTTGCGCAAGAAAGTGCCCTTGAACGTAATTCCCTGTCTACGGGAGTAAAGGGCTAAAACAGATGCCTCATGAGTTTATCCACTGTTTCTTTAATTTGTTAGACTAATAAAGTAGCTAATGGCAAATGGATTTTCATATTATTTTACCTTCTCTGTGTCTTGTTCTTGAGTTCTTTCTGTATTGATTATGTAATATGATATCACTTGACGTTTACTACGAGCAAACATATTTTTCGAACTCATTTGGTGTTATACATCGTTCATTCTTTAGTCGTTCAACAATTTATGCGTTTAGTCGGAATCACAAACAGTGGATTCTTTTTTCTGAGTGTCAATCCCAGCTTCTCCTCCCTGTCAATATCCTCGGGCCTGACGCCAGGCCCGAGATCCCAGTCGAACAACTGAACCAGACTCGCGATCGCCAGGTGGACCATCCGGTGGGCCAGCAACAACCCCACGCAGATCCTCCGGCCCGACCCAAACGGGATCAGCTCGAAGTGCTGGCCCTTGTACTCGATGTCGGATCCAAGGAACCTCTCAGGCCTGAACTCAAGCGGGTCGGGCCATACCTCGGGGTCTCGCCCGATGGACCACACATTGACGAACACCTGGGTGTCCTTTGGGATGTGGTAGCCCATATAGTTAGTGTCCATGTGAGTGTTCCTCGGGAGAAGGGGCAGCACAGGGTGGAGACGGAGGGCTTCCTTGACTACCGCCTGCAAATAGGGCATGTTCTCGATATCCTTCTCATCCACCCGGCGGTCCACGCCCACAACCCGGTCGAGCTCCTCGCGGACCTTCACGAACGTTCGTGGGCTGCGCAAAAGCTCCGCGAATCCCCACTCGATGCTGATGCTTGTAGTGTCGGAAGCCGCAAAGAACATTTCCTGATTTTCGACAAAGAGAATTTCGCATTTACATATTCAAACTTGGTAAGTCGAGGTAACCTTCGTATTCGTAATACAGTTTACCGTGATGATAATGTTGATATCCTTCTCAGTCATCCCGTCGCACTCGAGAAGCACGTCGAGAAAATCCTTATCCCCCTCTCGGAATTTCCTGGCCTCGCGCTCGTCGAGCCTCTCCCGAACGAACCTCGCCGTGATCCTCATCGTGACGCCCAAATTCTTCTCCATTTCCTTCCTCATCCCGGATGGATCCGCCCACTCAAGCCACGGCAAGTAGTCGGCCAAGTTTGGTGTCCCAGCCAGCTCGATTGCCCGCCTCATGCAGTCGAAGAACTGCCTCGACTCCCAGTCGTTAGCGTCCGAAATCAGGTCCCTCGACAGCACAACGTTCCCCACGAGGTTGAACGCCATTGCAAACAGGGGCAGGCCGAGCTGGATGTAGCCTGTTTCCTCTCTGGCCCGGCCCGCGGCCGACTCCTCGAGGATCCACCGGACCGTGTCATCTCGAAGGCGGCGGCGGAGGCCGGCGCCGGCGGCCACGCGGCTGCCAACGAGGAACTCCGACGAGAAGAGGCGACGCAGGGCCCTCCAGCGAGGCCCGAACCGGCTCATGCTGAGGGTCCCGCGGCCGAAGTCGAGGGCGGTGACGGCGTGTGGGGCCCGGCGGTCGGAGAAGGGGAGGTCGTGCTTCTTGAAGAGCTCGGCGGCGGCCGTGGGGCTCTGGACGACCAGCGTGCCGACGGAGCCGAGGCGGAGCCAGAGGACGGGGCCGTGGGGGCCGCGCCAATTGTGCATGGACTCGTGGGGGAGGTCGCCAAGCTGGAGGAGGTTGCCGAGGACGGGGATGCCCGTGGGGCCCGGCGGGGTTTTTCCGGTGGGCTTGCGGCGGAGGAGGCTGAGGAGGAGGAGGAGGAGGGCCAGGAGAGAGATTGTAATGAGTGGGTTGATTGAGTTCAGGAAAAATTCAATTTCCATTTTTTCTTTTTTTTTTTTTTTCTTCTTTTTTGATGGTGTGAATGTTGAGTTCAAACCTCTTTTCTATGATTTTTGAATTCATAGTTAAAGCTTCCATTTATGCAAAAAAAAATTTCTAGTTTGGGCAACTTGAAATTGCCGACAATCACCTAAAAGTTTGTTCCTCTCAACTATTTAATTAATGCGCCTATTTTCCTCAGCTCCATCTAATTTCATACATAAAGAACTCGTGTTTCACGACACTTGGGCGTGTTTGTTGCACACAAAAAATGTGGTTTTTTGAGCAAAGGGCGAATCAACCACAAATAAAAACTCGTACAATTAAAAGAATTCTAGGTATTATCGTATTCATTTACCAAGTGTGTCTGTTTTGCTTAGGTTGCTGCGTATACAGTATCATTTCACTGGACATGATGTCCACGAGTAAACAGAATTAAGTGTCTCTAGTGAATGTATATATTAGCGTATGTATGTGATCCAATGGTTAAAAAACTCGAAATGATTATAGGGTGATGCTACGGTTTCGTTACGAAATCATTCCGTCGAGATTTGTAACTGTTGGATCAACTATCCTCGACGGTTACATAATGATCTAACGGTTACAAACCTTGATGGAATGGTTTCGTAACGGGACTGGAGCATTTTCCATTATTAAAAATCATATACAATATGATTTTACTTGACAAGTAGGGGTGAACATAGAATATTTCAGATTTATCAATCAGAATAACCGAAACCAAAATTAAAGATGTATCACAATTTAATCTACGGAAATAGAACAAAAAAAACGCGACTGTCTGTCTAGGTACAATATACAAAGATTCTTTATAATTCGGTCCAAAAATCATCAAAAATACAATCTAAGAATGACGTGGCTCCAAATAAATATGAGTGATTTTATTAAAATTATATAACTTCTTAATGAGAAATATTGGATGTGGATTCATATCTCCAAATGAATCCAATGAGACGCATACACCTATTTTTATTTATTCACATGTTACAATCACTGAATACACCATTAAAAAGTCACCAATATAAATATAATTGGTTATACACCCTTTCAAGTTACTACTTATATAAT